GTTAAGGAAATTGTCCAACATTCACTGCCATACAGGAGGGCAGATATCACATAACAGTTCAGTATTCTTTTCCTTGTTTCCAACAAAACTTACCTGTCTCTTAGTACTCTGCTTAACTTTTGGAATGTGTCTTTGGCCATCCCAATATGTCTTTGGATATCAGTGTCGCACTTTCGGTTTGGGCACTTCCCAGATATTTAAATTTCTGTACCTGCCTGATTTTAGTACCGCCAACCTGTAATTTGCATTTTGGACTTATCTTTTTACTGATGACCATGCATTCTGCCTCGTTGTAGTTCATGCTTAGTCCCTTCTTTTCACTCACTGAAGAGGTTTTGTAGTTTCCTTTCTGTGTCTGCTATCAGCACTATCATATGCGTATCTTATATTGTTAAGATTGTGGCTGCCAATGATGAATACTGGTAAAATTTCTAGTTCTCTCATAAGCACCTTGCTGTTTAGGTTGTATAAGTCCGGTAAGAAGACACATCGTTGTCTTACACCCCTTTTCAATTTTTTTATATCTGCTGAACTCATTTTTTTTTTATCCATATACAGGCAGTTTGCTGCCAGTAGGGATTTTTGATTATTCTAATGTCTTTCCTGAATATGTCAAAGTTGCTGAGCAGCTCTAACAGATCTTTGTGGAGTACTTTGTCAAACACCTCTGTGGTGTCTATAAAACACAGGTGCACATTCTTTTGCATTTGATTGCTCTTTCTATAATGTTCTCAGTATAAATATTACATTCCTTGTTCCAGTGTCTTTGATGAACCTGCACTGTTCTTGTCCTATCTCTGGCCTATATAATACACATGTATTTGTATATTTTGTCTAAGTTTTTTGCTTGATTAGTTATCTCCCTAGCACTGTTGATGTCAGATGGCTGTTTCTTTATAACAATGGAGGATTTTTTTTTTTTTTTTTAGATTATTTATGAAACCAGGAAATGAAGACAAATTCCAAAGACTGATTCCGTGAAAGGACCTAAAACAACAAAAACTGGGGAGAATATATTTTAAATCTGATGTTATTGTAAGGATGTAACAGGATATCTTGGAATTACTGTCACACACACACATATATATATATATATATATATATATATATATAAATATTTTTTTTTTTTTAGAAAATAACTTTTTGTTTGTAATGGCTGGCCATTCATATCAGAGTATGCCTGTGTAACTTAGGGCAGTTAACCAATCCTTGTACAGAAACCTGCTCGGGCATATCAGTTTGTTAAATACTTTCTGCTCGCACAACCATCAATGACTCCCAAAGAGTTCTATTGACCCAATTTCACTTACAAGGCTTGCGTTAACTCACAATACGGTTTTCAGGCATTTTTCTAAATGTTCTGCATGCTGGGATTACCTTCCCCAAACAATTAACGTCAAGAAGTCACCTTCCTGATAAATCGAACCTAGTGAGATTTGAACTCTGGTCTCCTGCTTAGAAAGCAAATATTCTAACAATGGCCATTTGCCCATTAATTGTTTGATGTAATAGATACAAATTCAGAATGTATTTGTGTATACAAATTTATGTAGATTCATACTTTCAATTCTTAGTGTTGATTTCTATTGTGAGAGGTATCTCAATTTTGCTTCAACTTTTTAAGAAAAAATTCTCCATTATTTGAATTTATTTGATTTTGTTACCATCTTTATTTTTTAATTTTTAACTTCCATTTTCACTTGAATTTTTTTTTTCTTTGAGAACTTCTCTGGGCTTCAGTAGTTCCTGATAGTCTCTGAAAACACAATACTTTGATTAGCAATTGAAACTTAATCACAATTCCTTTTCAGTGCTCGTTAATCTCCTCATTTGTGAGTCATGGAGCAATTTGTTTGGAAAGTGGAACACAAGTTAAAATTGTGATTCAGATGAGTTAGATCAATTTGAAAAAAAATTTGACTCAGCCATTATTAATTTTTGATTTTTTAGTAGTATTTACATATTACTTGCTTTTTATTGCAATTGTTAATTGGGTCATCATTTTATGTCAGTGCAGCTCAGAAAGAAAGGATGCACCCAAAGTGATATTCAGACTTGTCCTTTTTCTGTCTCCTCAATCCTAGTTGAATCCACTCGCTACTTTTAACAGTCTAATGTACTGGAACTCTCTATAATTTCTTTTACAGAGGATCAAATCTGAAGTTTCCTTCCATTATTTTGAGTGCTTTATTTATTTGTTTTTATAAGTTAACTTGTACTAATAGTAACTATATTTAATTTATTTTTGAGATAATAATATTAACATAGTTAACTGTTTTTAATTTTGATAATTATTTAAGTTACTTTCTATTTCCATTTTATGGAAGCCATGAAACTGGAATAATGACAAAATAAAATTTAAGTAAATGTTTGTCAGAATTACTAACGTGACAATTATTTTTTTTTTTTTTTTTTTTAATAAGTAAATACTGCAAATTTGGCCTTCATTACTTATTGTTCTTGCTAATCACTATGTTCTTTGATCATTTTAAAAGTCATTTTGTGTAATATATATATATATTATATATATATATATATATATATATATATATATATATATATATATATATACACACAGAACTGTCATCACACTGTAGGATATCTACTAACTAAAGTGATGGAAAAAAAAAAAAAAAAAGAATCTAAATGAAATTAACTAGATTTAAAAAAAAAAAAAAAAAAAAAAATTCCCAGCATCCCTTATTAATGCGCATGTGTAGTCACACCAAGTTAACAAATTTAGTCTGAAGTCCTAAAGGATGAAATGTGTCACAAAACTTTTTTCACTTTGTCATACATTTTTACCCAATATATATGTGTGTGTGTGTGTGTAATTTGAAGACTTATCCCTTGACTGTTTTGCAGGAGTAAATCCACATTCCAAGGGTAAGATAAATAAATTTATTTTAAGATATCTATTTTAAAATATATTACATTAAAAATGATTTTTCCTTGTCTCTGAAGTGTGGATATATTGTGTCAAAAGTCCGAGTTGGAAGAGAAACCTTGAAACTTCTTATTTACACATAATGCTCTATTTGTCAAGATTTGAGCACTTCACAAAATCTGCTTACTTTAAATATGTTATCTATTAATTTTCTATTCATTTCAGCTGTTTGAGTCATTTAACATCATTAACCTTGAGTAAGGTATTTATTCGGAAGCTCCTACCGTTTTGAATCTGCATAAAAATATGGACAAGGAAAACTATTTGATTTGGAACATGGCAGGATTCAGACTAATTGCCTATCTATTCCTTTTTACTATAATTGACTACAAGTTAGAAAGCTACTGACTTGGTCCTGATAAATTCAGAAACGAGAAAGCAGCCTCACAAAAAAAATGATTGTAAAATACCTGACCACATATTAGAAACAGGATGTTAAGAACAAAAATATCATATTATTCAAACAGGTACTCGGTGATGGCAAAAAAAAAAAGATATTGGGGACCTCCTACTACAATATCTCTCTTGAGATTTTCCAATTTCTCCTTATATTTCTGTCTAATCCTCTTTTAAATCTAAAGTTTTCTATGTGATGAAAGCATTAAAAATGGCACTGATATTCAGAGAACTTAAAATGATTACTTGGCTACTTAGTGCATCATTTTACATACAATTATTGTATTATCTCAACAAATTAGCTGTAAATAATCAAGAGTGACTTTTTATAGCCATCTGCCACTTATATTATTGCCAACTAAGACTGTTTTTACATTTGCATAAGTAGCAAAGTAATCATTTTAAGTAATGCAGTTAATCGAAATAAATGCTGCATAATTTGAGTTTCAAAATGGGTCTAATTTTGTCCTAAATCTAGGTATTTAAATTTCTGCATTTGTTTGATTTTGGAACCTCCAATTTGCAATTTACACTTAGGTTCATCCTTTTTGCTAACAACCATGCACTCTGTCTTGCAGTTGATGTTTAATCCTTTCTTCGAGTTTCCTTTCACTAGCTTTTGTAGGAGTTTTTGTAGTCTCCCCCCACCTTGTCTGCTATTAACACTGGCATTTACATATCTTATGCCAATAATTAATCCTGGTAGGACTTCAGTGTATTATTTAATCAAATCGGCCATAAATAATCAACAGTACCTTTTTGTGGCAATCTGTCAGTTATATTATTGTCAATTAAGATAGTTTTACTATTTATATAAATAGTAAAGTAATTGTTCTAATTAATCAAAATAAGTGCTTCATAATTATATTTTTTTTTTTTTTTTTTTTTTTTTTTTTTTTAAGTATTAGTCATATTTTAAGTTGAGAAATGTTATCAGAAAAGCTTGTAATATGGATATTTCAGAACTTTGGAGTTTCCATTTAAGAGATATATAAACTGATAAAAAAAAAAAAATAATTTTACTTGAGAACAGCACATGGATAATCCAGATAGTATAATCCGCACAGATTATCAAGAGTTTACTTACTGCAAAACCAGGTGATTGGTGCCTATAATCCATTATGAATGACAAGTATTTAAAGAATTTTTTTTTTTACTTTTTTTTATCTTAGTGTTGTTCTTTCTCATGTGCCAAGAGGCATATGAGGTTGAGAACAGTTATTTTGTAAACTGATATTTGCCTTTCTGTAAGGGCAACCGTGACAAAAATTCCTTGAACTAATTCTACTAGCCTACTTGCACTTAAGGGTTTGCTCATTGTCCTGATTCCTCTTGGAGTTTGGTCAATGAGCAAGCTCTATTGAAATTGAGGGAGGCACTGTTTGAATTAGGATCTCCAAGGGCTAATGCTGATTTTTTTTTTTTTTTTTTAATTTCTTTCTTATTCTTTCACCTGATCTCCAAAACTGATACCGAACATTTTCTGAAGTGAATTTTAAAAGGTATAAATTTTAATTCCTAATTTTTATTATAAATATTAGATATTCTTCTGGTTTGTCTCAGCTTTTCAGATATAAAAAGGGGAATGTTGTTAAATTTTAATAAAATCCTTCCAGTAAAGTCCTTTTTTAATTCATATTTTTCTTTTCTTTTCCAGGCATGGCTGGGCAGAACAGCTTCGAGCCTTAAAAATGAAACATGTCAAATGTATATGTCCAACTGCGTATGTATATGTTTTTTGTTTTTTTTAATTTTATTTTATTTTGTTCCTCTTGAAAAATATTTGGCAAATGTAAAAGACTGCTACCATGTACCATTTGTCTGCGAATTGAATATTGTTGCTACATCTGGTCTGATGCTCTTGCTATATATGTAGAAATCTTTGACAAAATCTTATGAAGGATCTGTAATGTTATCTATCCTGACCTGGCATCTCGTCTTCAGTCCCTTTTCCACTGCAGTAATGTAGTTTTTCTATAAATGTTTTCATGACAAAGATGGCTTGTTAATTTTAACGTCTCCAAAACTAAAATGGTCTCTCTCAATCATCTGAGAACTGTATTCTGTCTTCTATCAGCATGGCTGATGCTAAACGCCAAGAGAGTGACTCATTGCGCCTTCTCGGGTTAATGTTCTTGACTGACATGAAGTAGAAAAACTATATTGAATCCATTGCTAGTTCAGCTGCGAAGAAAGTTGCTTCACTGTGTCGTGGTAGACAAGTTTTTTTTTTTTTTTCTCAAGAATCTATCTTGCGTACCTATAAGTCAACCATTCATCCATCCTGAGAATATTGCTGCCACATATGGTCCAGTGCTTCTTCTGTATATCTTGATTTTCTTAATAAAATCCAAAGGATCAGCAATATTATTGGTCCTGACCTGGCATCTCAGTTTGTCACTTTTCCACTGCTGTAAAGTTGCCTCCCTGTGTCTTTTCTATAAATATTTTCATGGTAATTGTTCTGATGAGCTCTTCTCTATGATTCCGTAGACTCCCCCCATGTCATTTAAGTGCAGTACTAGACTGGCAATGTGGTCTCATCAATTTACAGTTGACTAGTTGTAACTGTAAGTTCTATACTAACAGTTTCTTTTCTCGCTTTTGGAACTCTTTCGGTTCCACGTTTTCCAGCTAACTTTAATCTTCAAAAATTTCAATGCAATGCCAATTGCTATCTACTCTCCTCTTGATTACTCTTCTTTTGTTCTCAATCCTTAATAATTTTTCTGTTTTCTAATTCTTTCACATTGTCTTAGTGTCTTTACTGCCTTGCTTTGGGTTGAATATATATATATATATATATATATATATATAATTTATTTATTTTACTCTTTGGTAATGCAACCTCCTGAATTTAAGCATAGTACAAGATTGGCAATTACCATTGAAATAGACAGATGTAACCATAAGTTCTATTCTAATATTTTCTTTTCTCACACTTCTCAGCTGTGAAACTTCCTTCCGGCTTCTTGCTTTCCCGTCAACTATAATCTTCAAAAATTTAAATGCACTATCATCATCTTGTTCTTTTGAACCCTGTTCTTTTAGTGTCCTTTCTCTTCAATCATGTTTTGACAGTTCTTTTGCTCTGGGTAACCCTTTGCATCTTAGTGGCTTTATTGCTTTGCTTGGGGTGAAATGATTACAAGGGGAAGAGAGTTGCCTGCAAAATAAAACTGGAAAAGTTGCTACGGAAAACTTTGCAATTTAAATTTTTTTAAAATTTTCTCCTGCTTTTCTTAGTACTTCATTTATATTGACTTGCATCTGTTTTTCTAATCACAAGGGTAAAAATTCTTATTTCCTAATAATAGTTTGTTGAATAAAATGTATTTCTACTATGATTTTTGTTGCTTATTTTGGTCTTCTTCAAATAAAGACACGTGAATTAGTCAGAATGCATCTCTTTCTCCTCTATTGGTTAAATAGTATGTCTGGTATTGGGAAAGATCATTGTTATCTCAAAAAATTGTTACTGCAATATTTACTTGAAAGAACAAGAAAAATCCCTCAAAACTTTTCAGCTGTAATCCTTTAGCCTTCGACACACTCAAAATCAGCTGTCAGTTTTGATGTTTGTGTAACTTCCAGGGGATGTATGGGTCAGGTTGAACATTGAAAGGGTTGAATAAACCACAAAGGGTTGATAAGCCATAAAAAAAAAAAAAATGTCAAACACTTTGTCAACTGGCAGTTTGTTCACCTCTGTAGATCATCATTGGTGTGAGAATGCAATGAGAGTAGCGAAGAGTGTGAAATGTTGGTTAAGTAAGAAAGCTAGAGAAAAACAAAGGGGGTGAAAGTGATGGGGGGGGACTAAAGAGACGTAAGCTTACTATCTTTTGAGACTTTTTTACCCCCCCCTTTTTTATTACTACTGTTATTATAATAGCATAATGTATGTTTTTATCTCCAAAGGTAGGTAAATAGTACAACAGATATTCCAGCTGAGGTTGTTACATTCAATTTTGCACAAATCCCTTAGGAAAGGGAGGAATTGCTCTTCTCCCCCTCACCCAAGCTATGGATTAAATAGCAGTTGTGCAAAAAAAAAGATCCACTTGCTTCAGAAAATGTGAGGGCGTGTGCCTGCCAATGCCATTGGCTCCATGATACAAGGAAAAACCAGAGCACGCATATTTTGTTTATAACAGAAAGCAGTTAATGGATTATCCTCGATTTGCTGCCTATGGGAGGTGGGGGAAGGGGTTAGTGGAATAGCCCAGATGTGCTGCCTACTGATTAGCATATTTGCTTTTTGAATGCATTGAACAAGTGTCAAGGCAAAGAAAGTCAATCGCAGGAAGAGCAGATTTGTGGCGGTTTGAATTTATGACGGTTTGCTATAAGCGTAGACTGAACTGTCTATTTTTTTGTTGACAACCAGTCTCCGAAGGAAAACTCTGAAGTTAGAACTGGCTTGGTGTGTGACGAGCAACTCTACCATGTTTATTTTTTGCTTTTTAAATTTTATATTTTAAATTTAGCTAGCACCCCCTTTTATGGTCTCTTTGGCAACATATACAGCAATCCTAGCTAGGGGGTCTAATTTTGCATCAGTGCAAAGCACGTTCAGATTCTTGATAGGAATTTTGTGGTTACTCAATAACTGATTCTGATCATGCAAAAGAGTTGATGGATTCTTTGGTGATGGTTTTCATTGTTATCTTCGAGCATTCTGCTACTGATTGGTTTTCTTGAATGCTTATCTTGAACTGATACTTGAAAACCGTGTTCACTCTAAAAGCATTTTGAAGGCATTCATAGCAAATTTGAGGAAGACATGTTGCTCAATTTTTATCACCCATTGTAAAGATTTGAATATCCATTTCAACACAATTATAAGTCTTTGTGCATTAATAGAACCTGAATAATGTGACGTCTGTTGGCAGACTTAGTTGGCTGGGTACCAGTCAGCATTAGCATTTTCATCAACAGTATAATCACTGTATTTACAGTTCAGGAATTTTCCAGTATCAAGTATATATGAGGAGGTGATAAGTTCTTGGCCCAAACATGAATGGAATTAAAATCTAAAAGTTTGGCCAGATTTTGGGAAATGCATTGGATTAAAAACTTTTCAGCACCTCTCTTACTTACACACACACACACACACACACACACACACATATTTGGGATTGGATAGATGTGAGTTTGTGACCCTGGGTTTCAACTTAGCTATTGTCAGACAAACGCTAAAGTGTGAAACCCAGAGTCACAAACTCACATCTATCCAACCATACATGTTAGCTCTATCTCTGATATTGAGCGCTTTCTAATAAGTACCGCGCATATAATATATAAATAATTATACATATTTATTTATATTTATATACACTTTTCACACACACACACACACATATATATATAAACAAATGAAAGGTCTGTCACTTAGATGATACCTTCAGCATCCTGACTTGAGAGTTTTGTAGACAAATCCTCAGAGAATCACTCCATCCACTCAGGTATAAGTGGAGACTTAGGTCAATATCACATAGTTACAGTCTGTTTCATGTTTAAGTGTAATCTTCAGGCCATGTCTATTGTGTTTTGGCTACAAATAACTGCTGTCAGATCCCCAATTCTATTCAATAGCCTATAGCATAATTTGAAATATAACCATTACCAGCTACTCGATAACTGTCAGGATAATACAATAGACCTTACTACTTATAATGCCCCCCCACTGACCACGTTAGAAGTAAAGAGTTGAAGTAGACTTTAGAAGGAACCAGACACCTAATCGTGAACAGGAAACAAATTCCTGTTCAAAATTCTGGAGTGCAGATGGAAATACATTGGCTGACCAGACCTGATAGTAAATCTGATATAAAACTATACAATACTGAATTGGAAGCTCTTAGCTTTGAATTAAAACTCACCCTTGAGACGTCGTAAACACAATAAATAAAAACCATAGACACAATGACATGGAATTTGGAAAAGGCTTCATCCAAGGATTAATTACTGCCACTCTGAGAACAATTGAAATAATTTTACCACAGAAACCCTTACTTAAAATCTTTAAGGAACCTAGCAAAAAAAAAAAGAAAAAAAGGAAATTTGACTTCTTCTGACAAAGGATTATGAATAAGAGCACATATAATGATAAAATTAAATATGATTCGATGATACTAATGCATGCATGAAAATAGATGAATCTCTATCTATAAAAGGCAGTGTGTGTGTGTGTGTGTTTGTGTGTGTGTGTTTGTAACGAATGCATGGCCGCAATTTTTGACGGATTTGCACCAAAATTTACATGCACATGCTCCAAGTTGGCGGGAAGGCCAAGACCAACTTTGCATTTCCCAACTCCCATCGATAGTGGAAATAATCGATTTTTTTCATGCTTCTACGACAGTTTTCATGTAGTTTGCGGCCATTTTCTACTGGCCAGAGCGAGAGCCTATAGCTGGCTGCCACAAATAGGCAGGAAGATTCTATTGGCCAGCATAAGAGCCAACAGCTGACTGACATGAATGTTAGCTAGCATGCAAAAAGCAAAAAAATTCGATAACTGCATTCGTCACAAGTGGGAAAAATTTAAATCTGCATGGCACTTTACTCCAGTTGGCTTATTCGCTTGCTTAAACTCAATGTTGATTCTGATTCCGCAGAACTGGGTTGGGTGTGAAAAAAGTATGTTGTTAACATTCTTTTTTTCATTCAGTTTTTCCATTCTGAGTCCTTTTTAAAGCTGATCGTTTTGTATTCATT